ATAGAATACATTCGTTTTTGAAGTATCTGTGGGAAGAGATGTTGGTTATTCAACTTACTATTAAAGTAAACAGACATACCATATAGAGCACGTTTTCAGCCTCCATCTTTATAATACAGCCTGTGTACTAGTGTACTAATCTCTGTCTTAATGCAGCTTTCTTATTTTGCTTTTCTAAAATAGTTTGGTGACCTTCTCTCTTTTCCATAGTAGACTGGTAGCTTTTGTGATGCCTTCAAAGAATAAGCTAACCAAGTTGTTCTTAGCATTCTATTATATAGTTATTTAAAAAGATCACAAAAATGAAGTCAATTACATAGCTTTAGGTTGTCTTCAAATTAATGTCTGCCTGTCTGTGAAGGAAAGTAATTAGAAGTGCAATTAAATTACCTTAAAATGGTTCCTCTGTTGGTAGTTAGAGAGCTAGATGTTATTTCTCTGCTATAGAAGTGAAAACAGCATTTTATGCCTGAAACCAAGAAAACCAGTGTTCACGTTCGCCAAGTCCTTTAGCATCACTAATACTAGAAGAATTGTTAGAAGTGGTCTCAGATTTATGCCAAGATTTGATTTTTTTTTACCATGTCTCAAATTTTTGCTCAAATTAGCATTTATCTATAGCCCCATTTAACTGGATTGAAAAGGTCGTATTTATCTAGATCAATAAAATTTAGTATTATATACCATAACTTTTTCATATTTTACATGTATGAATATTCACATCAACATAACCTGTTTATTCTAAAGATTGCTCCGGACGGCTTCTGATTCTGATTTTAGGTCATAATGTCACTTCGCTTTAAATTTCTTACCAGTCTATTCCATGTTAAACTTTAGCCAATTCCTGACTTTAGCCAATTCCTAAACTTTAGCCAATGAAAACCTTTTTCTTCCTAAAAAGGAATTTTTTATTTACTTGTTTTAAAATAAGAAAGCAAACAGACAAGCCAAACAGCCCGCAATGGAAAAATTCTCTCTCATATAGCAAGAAAAAAAAAAAATGCTCAAAATAGATTTTCCAAATACTATCAAAATTATCTTAAAATGAGGTTATGATATATTTGGTTTTCAAATATTACCAAGGGTAATGTAAGGAACGCTTTGACAGTATTGAAAGTAGTAGCACTAACCTACATGAAATAGGATGCTTGCCTGCACTAAGTGTTCTTTGTCCATGGTGGACTTTTCTAACCTTTTTTTTTTTCCCCCTCCCCTCCCATAAACATAAAATTGCAGAACCCTGCTATTAATTTAGAATTATTTATGTATTCTACATCCTATTTTTAATGAGATTTCAGTTCAGAGATCTGTTTTTTCTTCTTTAGGGTTAAATTCTAATTTTTTTTTGTAGTGCTCTGCTAAATAGTGAAAAGAATATTTATTTCTCACTGTAGAAATGTATATGATTATTTGTTTATCTGAAATTCCAGTAATGAATATGCAGAGATCTTCATAATCTTTCCTGTACTGGTTGTAGCTGGATAGCTGCTTGTTGAATTGTTGTCTGAACAACTGCATTTGCACATGTATCCTGAATGGTATCAGAATCAGTCTTGAATTAACTAAAACCCATTATATTCCATAATGGTTGTATGTGCAGAAATAAAATTTATATTATTTTAATTCTACCTAGGGGAAGCTAGCTATACTAAAGCAGCAAGTGTTGTTAAGGGAATGGAGCTCAGGAATCTGAGTGAAATAACTACAGTTTTATCATACATTGAATTTGAGATGTAAAGTGCTCGGTTATTTCATAACTGTCCAGATCTCTGGCTATTGTAAAAATGATTGTGTTGATTTTATTTATTAAAGCAGTGTTCTCATAGTGTATTCTTGCTGGTTCAATAGTTGATTGTGACTCCTGTTTCCTTCTGAGATTTTTAGCACGTTTCATCAAACAAATAGATGCCAAATCATGGATTATCCATGCAGGAAAAAGAGTGGTTTTAATGGTACTTTGGCATTCTGCTTCCATTACTCTAAGTGGTAGGCTATTTTTGCTGTATCAGTGAGATTTCAGGGAATGAGCACTGATTCTTGGTATTTCCTCTAACAATTTTTTATGATATTGGGTGACCGTCTGAAAGCTTCATCTTCTGGAAGCAGATAATTTATATTAAAGTTTCAGTTTTCCATTAAAAATTAAAAGCAAGCTTCTAGCCCTTGTGACTCTCGAGAGAGACAGTAAATGTCATCTCCCTGTATCGCATGGACCCAGATTTGAAAAACAGCACCTCTTGCTCTGCTTCACCACCTACTAGCACTTACAAACCCTTTATTCTCTCCCTAACCCCTTAAAAACAATGGGCCCTACTCCAGAAGTTTTGGTTGGCTGAAGTTGATAGTACAAAGGGAGACAGTTTATGTGTTTTTATATATAATTTTCTGAAATTCTGCTCCCACTTCGCATTTTTTCAGCGTTCCTACTTGCTTTCTGGTGGATTCTAGTGCAGTGACACTGTGTGGTTAATGTAACAGTATATAAAACACAAAGTGCATTAAGTGGTGAGAGAAGTAGTGAATTTTATAGATGTTGCTCTGTTGGGTGTGTAGTCTTCTTTGGCAGGAGACATGGTGTCAAGTTCGTGTCAGGTAAGTTGTACAAAGACAGGATTTCGCACAAAGCTTCCCCTGCTTCAGTTGCCCTGAGTGGGTAGCTGTGGTGCTCATGGGACGAACCTCAAGGATTTCATGCCTACTTATTATTTGTTTTATTTAGTAGCTACCTTTTTTCCTCTTCTTGTTTTCCAGCATGCCCCACCCACCTTTATAGAAGGAAATTTATAATACTGTGGTTAAATAATTGTCAGAGGTACCAGTGAGAAGTTGCAGAGCTAGACAGTACGTATTCAACTACACTTACCACTGCAGTGACGTGGTAGCTTTCCTTAATGTTGTGCTTACATTTCTAAACTGCTGATAAGAAATTGTAAAAAGAAGCTAATGGTCCACAATAATGAAAACTATGATGTTATTTTTGCATTAATTCCTGAGAAAGATGTTTTTCTCCCCCCTGTAAATGCTTTTCATGTAAATGTGAATGTTATCACAAGTTCTGTTACTATAAAAACTCTCCCTATTGTTTTGTTTTCTGTGACCTATATTCTGTCAGAAGTGGAAATAATGTAGCAGTCCTTCAACTACTAATAATTTAACACTCCTCATATCTTCTGGAAAAACAAGCCCTCAAATCAGTACCATTTCGTGGCTACCAAGTAGAGTGCATTGACAGAAATACTATGCAGAAACATGTTTCTGCTCTCAAAAGGTTAATTGATATTTCAGAATGTTGAGTGTCTTCTAAGTAAACACGGCTGTGGCCAAACATATGTTCTATCTTCCCTTCACAAAAAGTAATAGGCAGACAATTCTGAAGCCTTGGGCAGCATACTTCATGTTAATCAAAACTGGTTCCCATATGGCTATATTTAAAACAGAAAAGGCAAATGAATCGTATAGAAAAAAACAAAGTAATTTTAAGGAAAAGCAATACAAAAGAGAGTTATGGCTGCTGTTCAGTTGCAAACATGTACCACTGTTCTCCCACATATATTGTTTGTTCTGAGCCCATTGTGATGTTCCTGGATGTATGTGAGTTAAAAGTAACCCGAAGTCATAAATTTAAATCTTCTCGCTTTTGATAGTTTGACTTTTCGTGTTATGCAAAGTGCAGTGTTTAACAATTAGAGGAAAACCTTGCAAGTTTTCTGTCTTCCTGGGATGTTGCTTTTCTCGCTGCTGGCATTATTTTATAATCCTGGATAAGATGCTGGTCTCTCTCAGTCTTAGACACGGTGTTGACCACGTCTGCACTTGGCCAAGCTTGACTGACCTTCTTGGTGGCTAGCAGATCATGATACATATGTTCCCTGTTCATATACCTGGTCACACAAATTACAGTGTTTATTATAGAACTGGTGTATTGTGTATGCAATACAAGGTGTACCATGATATATATAAATGGTATAGCTGTACATAAATGGTATGGTTTTAGTGTATTTTGTAAGGTCTGTCTTTGAAGTGTGCGCATGTGAGATATTTACCGTTATTTGCTACCGGCCCAGTCCCTCATGCAGAGATTCCTGTCCATGTAGGAAGCAGCACAAGTGCTGCCCTTCACTTCACAGCCCAGCATCTCTGGGGGTTGCTTTTGCTGCTGCTGATTTAGTGGAATTGTTAGACTGTGAGATGTTTTAACTGATCTGTGGCACACTTCCCTTTTACTAAGTCAGCTGCAGTATTCACCAGCAGAGGGTGAGCATTAATTAAAAATTTGTGTGCAAATTAACTTGCTACATGAAAAGACTTCAGATTTGTCCTCTCTATCACTAGATAGGTTAGTTCCTTAAAGACTTGTAGTTCTTTTCTCATATACTTCTTCATGTGTGAGGCACAGCTCGATTATGTTTGAATATATTTTTAGTTTCATCATTAAAAAGTGATTTGAGATGAGTTTTTGTTGGAAATGAAAAAAAAAAATCTGTTGTTTGAATGTGCAGCTATTTTCTGACTTTCCAGGAGTAAGAATTTAAAAAGTAACTCAGAATTATTTTTGGCATTAAAAGTCCATATATGATAGAACACACCTTACATAGATCCGTTGTGTAATAGATTACCATCTCTTAAACTTTTTTTTTCCTAAAAGAAACAGGTAATAAAAGTAGTTGCCCCAACCTTACCCATCCTCTTTTTCTTACAGGGGAAACCCACCTTATTTTGGATCTTTAATTTTGTTCTGTGGATTAGTTTCAGAAGATCTGGAGCATTTTAAGTCACTGTTTTGGGCAGGCAATCTGATCTCTTAAATTTGTTTGCAGGTAAAAGTCATGGAGTACACGAGAATTTGCAGGATATGTATGGTATGAAAATATTCAACACTTACATAGGACCTGACAGCATATTTACTGATACAGACCATACACAGATATTTAAAATTGATCTACCCAGAACTTCTGTAGCATTTGACTGCTCCTAACCACATCTAAACTTGTGTTTTGTAGCTTGAAACAATTGGATGGCAGCTTAATCTTCAAATGGCTGAGTCCATGCAAGCAAAGCTAAAATCTCCTCGAGCTGTGCTGGAGCTGGGCGTGAGCAATGAAGATTCAAAGGTATGAAATGCATGTCTGCTGGAGTAAGAATGAATTGTGGTCATGACCTTATTTACATTTTTGAGACAGCAGCTGAAAATCTTGGTCACTATAAATATCTCGCTATATTTTTTTTCCATATTTCTGTTTTACAAAACCATTGAACAACTAGTTAATTGAAGCTATGTAGTTTTGATGTAGTGCCATACACATTAATTTGGCTGGAGGTTGTGATCTGCGTTGCAAGCTCTTTGGGTAAGTAATGAAGTAATGGAGAGATGGGAATAGAGTCATGGAAATATACTTATTTCATGTTTCTAAAATATCTTTATAGCGCATATCTTGTGATTATTGCTTGTTACACATTTAATGCTTAGTTCCTTGCTGCTTTCTATCATGTGTATACTTACATTACTTACTTGAAATCTTTCTGTGCTAATGGGGATTGTGTGAGTGTGTGTATACAGTGTGTGTGTGTGCGCGCACGCGCGTGTGTGTGTATAGATATATGTATATATGAAAGATGGCATGGTATGCAAGGGCATGGAAAGCCAATTCTCCAAATCTACAAGTTAAAGTCTTATATTCGAGTATTTTCGTGGCTGATGGTGTTTCAGTGCCAAGCACTACTTTGAAGATCTTTATTCATATAAGCTGTATCTTGTGTTAGTTAGCATGTTTTAAATTAAATACATGAATGACTCTTCATCTTATCTTGCTAATGGAAATTGGAAAGTCTTATCCTCTGCGGTGTCTCTCATGTTTATCAATGAAAGGGTCGGTGTAAAAGAATTGAGGAAAAAATTGATTTGGAACTCAATTCCGGTTTCACATTGCATTTAAATTATAGTAATCGTACTAATGTGAGTAGAATGTATAATTTCTAGAAGAATAAGAGAATATAGAGCTTAGTTGTGCTTTTCACCAGAACCTGCAGTAGTTATTTTTCAGCAGTCATTGCAGGTTATGTTTCTGAAACACGTAAGCAGGAATCTCATAGTATTTTATGTGCTAGTTGCATTAAGATGCACAGCATACTGATTCAGATCTATGACAAAGCAGATGTGAGGAAATACGACAAATGTGTGACACTTTTCAAGAAGAATATTCCCCTGAATTTCTTTGCATGTCGTTTGAGTGAATTCCCCAACTTCATTTTGAACCAAAATGAAGTTTTGAACCAAAAAAAGCCTTGTTTTGAACCAAAATGAAGTTAGTAGAAATTTGTGCATTGCATAGGGAAGATGGTAGAACCCTGTGTTCACATCCACGTTGACTCAGCACAGTCAACACTTGTATTTAAGTCCCGGTAAAGCAAATTGTGTTATTACATGGATAGAGGAGCCGGGGGTGGAATGCAGATGGACATGGTCATGGGGATCTGCCTTCGGTCTGGGCACTGCCTGAATATAAACGAACATTGTTAATATTTTTTTTTATAAGAAAAGAAAGTAATTCTATGTCCTAAACAAATGGTAGCATGAATAATTCACAGTTAAAATTTTTCAGTAGGTTCTTCTGCATGTTTCTTGTTCTGAATTGTTTTGTAGAACTGTGTGACAAGACATTTAAATGTGTAAGCGTATTTGGTTGTCCGTGTTCTGCTTATCTGGCTATTGGTTATGGTGTCATCGGTTCTTAATGTAACAATAGCTTTAGATAGCGAGCTGTCTGTGATCTGCTTATAAAATATTAAGTTAGGATTTGAGAGCTGACCTAGACTTCAGTGGAGCAAAGTGCTATTTTATTTGCTTCGGTTTTCCAGCTTTCTTTAAGCACTCTTTAAAACGAATGAAAAACACACCTTGAGATAAATTACTGTATTTGTCTTGATCATTAGAAGTATGTGTGGGAGCAGTGATTAAACCAAATAAAGCTTCTAAATGATCGACATTCAAAGTGGAATTTCTGATGAAATTGTCCACATAAGGATACATAGTCTTGCAACTTAGTAGTTTGGGAAGATGGAGAAGTTGTTTTCATTATGAGTTGTGCATATTTTTCTTAAACCACTTGCTTCCTTTATAAACAGAATTCAGAAAGTAAATGATTCTTAATTGATTTTTTTCTCCTTCTTATTGGTATAATTAGATAACAGATATTGGGATTCTTTTGCAATAACTACAAGCCTAGAAAAACAACTCCAGAGCTGGCAATTAGTAGAACAGCAGATCAAGCAAAACATGCCGATGTTCTCGCATTCCAGACACTAAAATTTAAAAATCTGGCTTGGTGTGAAGAAAACTACTGAATGTTAACATCCTGGTATAGAATAGGTTTGAGATAGGCTAATACCTGCCTACGTGCTGACAGAAGTGTTAGAGCATAATTAATTTTTGTGAAGTATTTTTCATCGCCTTAGTCCCTCTGTGCATTGAATATAAAGCTAGATACGCCTGAGGACTTCTTTCTTCTTAGGTACATTTCAGCCTTCTGCAGAGAAATTTGGCAAATTTAGAGTATTCGTTTGTAATAAGTAGTTGTCTTCATTTGTAACTAAACTCTTTCTTTTTGCCACGCACACACCATAGTTTTCATTTCGTGTGCAAGGCGCACAGCGAAGCGGTGCTGGAGATCCTGGTGTGTTGGCTCTTTAGGGGGCAGCAGTGCTCTTTCTCACTGCACCACGTCCCCAGCTCCTGGCACACACTCGGAAACAAAATTCAGCATCGCTCTCCAAGTCGGCAGTTGTGGGAAATGCAAAGTGTTTACATTTCTAATCTGCATAGAACAATAGGAGTTCGTCTTGCTCATCTCCAAAACTGAAGCCTGTTAATAAAAAAATGTACTGATCAAGGTAAATGAAATTTGCCTTGTTTCTGTTTTTATTGATTGAAAGTAATTCAACTCATACACTTACATCTACAACTCGCCCAATTAAGGGCAATTTAAATGTGTCTTTTTCGGCAGGTGATGTTCAATGTTAGTCCTTAGCTGTTTCTCTAGGACAATCAGGTAATCAGAGGCCCTCGGCTGCAGGAGTGATACTGTGCTTCATGAGTTAAGAGCTGGAAGATCTCCTGTAAGCCATGTGAATGCTTCTTTATCTTCAGATGAAATGCAGCATCTCATAAGTATTACACCTTATGATACAGGATCACATTATAACTCTATACATAGCATGGTAAATAATTTAAAAAAAAATAATTATTTATCACTTGTTTATGGTTTACTGTGACAAATCTCCTGAGGGGAGGGCATTATGAGTTCAGCATTTGCTTATCTTCAATCTCTGAATTACGCTTGACTTGGATCTTGCACAGACTTTACATATGTCATGAGAAGTTTCTCACCACGAGCAGTTAAGCACTGGAATGGGTCATTTGGAGAGACTGGAGTTGCTTGCAGTGGAAATTTTCTCCAGTTGATTGGAACCGCTGGGTGTAACTCTGGAGCCAGCCCTGCTCTTGGACTGGACGGCCTGGCAAAAGCAGTGCTCATTATTGACTGCTCTAAGGTTTGGTAGATGATGATCCTTTGTATTGGACCAAAACAGAACCTCAAAACCTCACAGAATGAATTTAAAAATCAATGACTACCACATGCTGCAAAGGTTCAGCACAGGTAAATCTTAGGGAAGTGGGATTTCTGTGGAGAAGGCACACAAAAAGCAAGCTAGGGTGTGATAAGGAGTATCTTTCTGAACTGCAGGAACCTTCTGCTTCCATCCTGTAATTTAAAAAACTAAGAGAACATGAATAAACAGCTGTTCACAAACTGATGTGTAAGCTAGAGGCAGGGTATGGAACTTTTAATTTGGTTTCAAGTTTGTTGTGTTGCTGAGTTGCAACACAGCCATCTGGAGACTTTTTATGGCCTATTATTATTTTTATTGTTACAGGGTGAATTAACCAGTAGAAGGAGTACAAATTAATAATCCTGATAATCTGTGCTGCTAATTAAGATGTTGTTTTGCAAATAAAGACTTAGCCCCAAAAGTTCTGTGTTTATTTACTTCAATATTTTATTAATATCTATCCACATAGGAGCACGTTTTTTTTCCACTGTTAATAACAGCAATTCCTTAGGCTATCTAGTCCAAACCTTTCTAAATGGGTGCGATCATTCTCTGTAAGTACAGGAGCCTTCTCTTGAGAAGAACTTTTTGTAACAGAAGCTGTAGGAAATGCTCGAGAGGACCAGAAGTGTCTTCTTGCCGAGGGTGATGCCGTCCCCAGAGCGATGTGGGAGGTGAGACCGTGTATGCCTGCGGGATGGAGACACGGCCGGCCTGTCCCAACCTGTGCTGTCCCAAGCAGCACAACTCCCTTGTGCCCGGGCTTGTTCCTGCTCTACCGCTTCCCTAGGAAACAGTGCCAGGCACGATATCATTTAAGGTGTATTTACTATTGATTTTTTTTTCTTTTTTTTGCACATGATCTGCAGCATTGAGGCTTGAAAATTCTTAGTGAAAAATCTTCTTGCCTGACTTGGTTTCTCGGTGGTTGTCTAAGCCTACTTTTTTTTTTTTTCTTGTAGTTCTGTTCCATTTATAGTCATTTATTTAATCAAACTTTTTTTCCAGTAGCAGGTTTTGCTTTGCTTGTGTTTCCCTTTTCTTCTTTTCAATATACAGTCTTCCCTTTAGTGTTTAAGGACTTCTTCATGGCCTTTTGGGGGACTATTTTTTTTAGTATGCTGAAGTAGGAATGCTGTATGTAGACTACATGAGACAGTTCAGTACCTCATTTATTTTGTTTATAAATTTCATGTGGTGGATTTTGTTGCAGTTGCCAATGCAAGATAAATGAACTTGTTAAAGTGGTGATTGGTTAAACCTGCTATTATAATACTTTTGACAAAAGGCAGAAAATATTAGAGCATTACTCTATTAATACAATTTAATTTTATTAATTTTTGCTAATTGTTTGCTGTTTTAAAAGAGGGGAAAGGAAGTATTTAAACTTATTTTCCTGCAACCATTTCTTCAAAATCGAAATGAAGTCTGGCTCCGGTTGAAGGCGAGATGGTAATACATAGGCATCATTCCACAGCGGATACGGAAGTCTGGAAGTACTAAA